TCACAAATAGCTGAAATCAAGAGTTGGATGTTTTAACCCACTGAACCCAAAAGACATACTTTAAATACAAGGACACAGCAGATTGGACATGTCAAAAGTAAAAAGGTTAAGAGCGCTAGTATGGTTAATATAAAAGTAGACTTCAAGGATTACAAGAAAGGATTACCAAAAAGAAATACAGACATTTTATGATGACAGAAGACTCAATTTATCAAGAACACATAACAATTCCAAATGAGGATGCATCTAATAATAGAGCTTCAAAATACATGAAGCAAAAATGAACAGAACTAAAGACAGAAATAGACAAACCCACAATTATAGTTGGACATTACTCCTTGTAATCTCTGTAACCTTCTGTAATCTTTATAACTGATAAAATATGCAGGCCAAAAAGAGTCAGTAAGAATATGGAAAATTTGTACAGTATTATCAGTGACGTAGATCTAACTGACATTTATCAGGCACTATGTACAATAATTGTAAAATATACATTCTTCCAAATACAAATGGAAACTTCATTAACATAGGCCCTATGTTGGGTCATAAAACAAGTCTCAATAAATTTCAAAGAATCTAGTGTAAGTAATTATTGAAATGAGAAGGCTAGTTATTTGTCTTATAATCTGTGATTCTGTGAATTCTCCTACTCTGATAAAAGAAATTTTCTAGCACCTTTTTCCAAATCTAGCAATATTATTTGCTTGCTAGGTTTTCAGAAACTTACTAAGTTTTTCTTTCTTTCTTTTTTGAAGATTTTATTTATTTATTTGATAGGGAGAGAGAGAGAAAGCACAAGCAGGGGGAGCTGCAGGCCAAGGAAGAGGGAGAAGCAGGCTTCCCGCTGAAGACCCTGGGATCATGACCTGAGCTGAAGGCAGACGCTTAACTGACTGAGCACCCCAAGCACCCCAAGATCTTACTAAGTTTAAGACTCAGTTCTTTAATCCCCTAAACAATGGAATTATTTCTTTATTATTTTTATTATTTTATTATTATTATTATTTTAAACTTTTGGTATAGTTAACATGTAGTGTTATATTGGTTTCAGGCGTACAATATAGTGATTCAACAATTATATATACTACTCAGTGCTCATCATGATAAGTGTACTTTTAATCCCCTTCACCTATTTCACCCCTGCCCCCTCCTCACCTCTCCTCTTGTAACCATCAGTTTGTTCTCTAGAGTTAAGAGTCTGTTTTTTGGTTTGTCTCTTTTTTCCTTTGTTCATTTGTTTTGTTTCTTAAATTCCACATATCAGTGAAATCATATGGTATTTATCTTTCTCTGATTATTTCACTTAGTTGTACCTTTTATATCCATTCATGTTGGTGCAAATGGCAAGATTTCTTTCTTTTTATGGCTGAGTAATATTCCATTGTATATATGCACTACATTCTTTTTTTTTTTTTTTTTAGAAAGAGAGAGTATACACGTGAGCTAGGGGGCTGGTGGTTGGGTTGAGGGAGAGGGAGAGAGATAATCTTAAGCAGGCTCATGTCCAGCATGGAGCCCAACAGAGGATTTCACTCTCTTTCTCAAAAAAAAAAAAAGCATATATATGAAGCTCTCTATTCTCTCTATTCTCAGAAAATGCAATCTTCCACCTGAAGCTTGGCACCATATGATATAGAATCCAGAACATCTGTTGCTTAAGATTCTCTAAAATAATCTCAGTTACCACTGCAGACAATGAACTTCTGCAAAAGAGACTTCATCAGGAATCGTCTCTTTAGAGCCCCTGTTACTCAGCTCATTTCTGGTGTTGAGGGAATCGTTGATGTCTACCTCGATAAAGATGTTCTGTGTATGTGTTTGTCTATTGGGTATAAATGTCTTAAGAAGCAGTACTTAGGGATGCCTAGGTGGCTCAGTCGGTTGAGCGTCTGCCTTCCGCTCAAGTCATGATCCCAGGGTCCTGGGATTGAGTCCCACATCGGGCTTCTTGCTCAGTGGGGAGCCTGCTTCTCCCTTTGCCTGCTTTTCCCTCTGCCTGCCACTCTCCCTAATTGTGTTCTCTCTCTCTCTCCTCCACAGATGGATAAATAAAATCTTAAAAAAAAAAAAAGTACTTAGACCTTAAATAGGAAGGCTTTGAGAATACACTATGGCAGGAGTTCCTAAACTGGAGTCTGTTGGCCCTACTTGGAGGATTGTCAGATAATGTGTGGTGATAGCATTTTCCTGGGGACAGAACTCACAACTTTCAGTAGATTCTCAAGGAATAGAAGCTTTGACCTCTAAAATGCTAAAAAGACTTGCATCATCTTTTCAAGTTGCTGAAAGCATTTTTACATCTTAGCCCTACAAAGGACACAAAACTATGTTTCTGTTTTTTCATCTGTAATATTGGGTTGTGTCAAAAAAAAAAAAAACATCAGCGTGCTCATTGCTTTGGCTGAAGAAGTTCTTAAAGATTTTTTTTTAAGATTTATTTTATTTATTTATTTTAGGCAGAGGGAGAGGGAGAATGTCAAGCAGATTCCACACTGAATGCACGGGGCTCAATCTCATGATCCTGAGATCATGACCTGAGCCGAAACTAAGAGCTTAACGGATTGAACTACCCAGGTGCCCAGATTTTTTTTTTTTTTAAGTACAATCTACCCCCCAGTGTGGGGCTTGAACTCAACCCCAAGATCAAGAGTCACCTACTCTACAAACTGAGCTTGGCTGAAGAAGTTCCGCATAGCAAGCCTGGCTGCCACTCAAGGGTCCATTTATTAATATCTTGCAGAATAAAACTCTGGAGACACCAGCTGGGAAAATACTGGCTTAGAAAGTTCACTTATGGGGCGCCTGGGTGGCTTAGTTGTTGAGCGTCTGCCTTCGGCTTAGGTCATGATTCCAGGTCCTGGGATCGAGCCCCACATCGGGCTCCCTGCTCAGCGGGAAGCCTGCTTCTCCCTCTCCCACTCCCACTGCTTGTATTCCCTCTCTCGCTGTGTCTCTCTCTGTCAAATAAATAAATAAAATCTTTAAAAAAAAAAGTTCACTTATTTTTCCATTCATTTCAAATACGTACCAAGCCTGCACTCCTCTAAGTATCTGTTGAGTGCTACAGAGGCTGCCATGCGGACTGAGAACCCTGGTCAAATGGAACCTAACCTGCAGACACAGGGCTCCAGCATGTTGGTTGAGAGGGTGTTCATGAAATTACCCAAATCTAGACCCAGCTCAGCCTATCTCCCACATCTAGACCCAAATCTAGATCCAGCCCAGCCTATCTCTCACTTGCATCAGTGTGCTCATGAAGCCTTTTTGAGCCTAGGTTTATATTTCTCATCTGTAAAATGGGGCTAAGCATGCAATTTTTAGATTCTTCTGAAATATATTTTTGGTTCTTCTGGCTTGATGTATGGGTTGTTCTGGATCCTCCCTCCTACTTTCTAACTTTGCCTCTCAGCCCCTAGGCTCATTTTGCTTGAGCCCCCCATGGTTTTCTTCCTCTGCCTTGACTAAACCACACTCATTTCTATTTAAGGTTCTTTACACCTGTTGCTTCCTCTGCCAGGAGCTACTTCCCTGGTTCTTTGCATCCCTGCATTTCTTTTGCTCACTCTTTCTTATTGTTAGATTTCAGCTCACACACACATTCCCTCCTCAGAGAATTTTCGTGACCATTCATCATGACTCCATACTCTCTCCCTGTCACCTTTCTCTTATCATTTTCTTAGTATTCATTATCTAACACTTGAGTAGTTTGCTTTAAAAAAAATCATTTCTCCTCATTAGAACTTGTTCAGGGTTATAGTCCCAGGACACTGGACAGTGTCCAGTAGAGAAAAAAAGCTCAGAAATACATACTTGTTAAATAAATGAATCGAACGGAACAAAGCGGAGGGCGTAGACATGGAAATGGTACAGATTAAAACCTCATCAACATTAGTGATTACAGTTTTATATGGTCGTTACTATAACATCTACATTTCAGAAGAGGGGATGTGTGTTTACATTTGCATAACAAATTGGGTCCAAAAAGTAAATGGTCTAGAACAATAGTCCCGTATCAAAGGTGAGCTCAGATTCCAACAATGCAAAACAGAAAATCTCTCTCCCCACCCAAAAGGTTTACAAAAAATTCTCAGGTGGTTTTCCCCCTGGCAAAATGTGGTATCTATTAAAATGGTAGAAGTTTGCAGTTAGGTAAGGTTGGTTCAGACACGTGTTTCAGAAGGGAAAGTTAATTCTGGTTGCTACATGTGGATACTAGATCAGACTCTGATAGACAGGTAAAATGGAATGGGTAACTGGGCAGATAAATGGACTGGGAAGGAAGAATTATAGGTGGAGGGTGCACCCCATGATTTCCATCAGAGTCACCAAAATCCATCTCCAGTAGAACTTATAGTTAAATAAGAGAACTGGACCTCTCTGCAGATCAGCAGCTTCAAGTGTATCCTGGATCACCACGCATGAGCCATTCTTGACTGGGAACCTCTGCTGGATTTAGGTATGGAGGGAAGACCATAGCAATGGATTCCATTTCCTGCTCCTAAATGAATGGTGGTAAATAAGGCTAAAGTTGGGATGAGGAGCCTCGAATGCCAGGACAAAAGCCTGTGCCTTTAAGATCTCTAAGTAAGGCGATAAGTAGGAGCGAAGTGGTTTGAGAGGAAAGAGGCCAGTTTTGGAAGGCCAGAGTGAAGGCTGTTTACAGTTCAGGCAAGAAAGGCAATATAGGGTCTAGAATCGGGGGGAAAAACGGGAACAAAAAAGGGATGAACGAGAGTTGTGCAGGTCAGAGGTTTCCAATGTGTCTGTGGGGGGGCCAGAGGCACTGCAATTTAGGCTGGGCGGGGGATTCATGGGGTTTGTTTGGATGTTTTTGGCCCACGGGATATAAACTTCAATGTGTCTCTTCAAAATAATAGCCCCTGTTGTCTATTGGCTGTATCGTGAAATAGAAATCATGAGTACACTGTATCTTTTAAAAAAAATCCCCTTTTGTAGCACTTCCTTAAAAACAGCTATTTAATGCAACTCTGCCAGTGAGTTCTTGACAGTTCTGTCTTAACGATTCTGATATTAATGAAACATCTCTGTAAAGGGTTGAAGTGTCTTCCTGGTAAGTGTTTAGCTTCTGTTTTTCCAAAATACCTTGTGATAATTTTCTCCTTTGCCCTAAAGAATGTTTCTCATATTGATTGTTCAGATACAAGAAATATTATGCAATTGAAGTGATCAATAGCGTTTTTGAGCTTTTTTCTTCCCTTTGGGTTTGCTACTTTTAAGAGTTGATTGTTGTGATAATTTTGTGGAGTATTTTAAAGTCATTTAAGTATTTGATTCAAAGTACAACACTCATGTATTTGCTTTGGTGCTTATGAGTTGAGGCATAGTTAATTGAAAGTCATTGACATGGCTTTTTAAAAATACATATACTGATGATAATCATTAGGGATCATAGCCCAGGCATGGTTTATGGGTTTTCTTTTTTTTTTCTTTTAAGTTTTTGCTAAAATGTTCAATATCTCTCACAGTGGAAAGCTGTCTTCCAGCTTTTTTGAGATATAAGTTTAAGGTGGAAAATGTGATGATTTGACATACGAATATATTATGAAATGATAACCACAATAAGATTAGTTAACACTTCCATCACCTTACATAATTACTTTTACATTTTTTAGGGATTTTTTTTCCTCATATTTTCTTCCAACTGACATGGCATAGTGATTTTGAAGAGCAGAATAGAATTTCAGTGTCTGACATACTATACTGATGTAATTATTATATTGTAATAGTGTGTTAGATTATATCATCTCTTTGTATTCTACAGTGTTAACGAGTAAACTCACTGTTTGCAGGGTAAATGATAACTTGTAAACAGAGTTGCTTGTGCTAAATAAAATGATAAGCAGTGTTGGACCCCCCACATGCTCTTTCTTGTTATGTAAATTTGTTTTTTAGTTCTATAGAACTTAAATCTTTTAAAAACCATTTAATGTTTTTTTAATCACTGTTTATTTAAAACAAAATCTAACTTACATGGATAAGAAAGTAGACCGGGGCTCTTATCCTAGGACATTAAGAAGTCAATGGATGGGCTTTACAGGGTAAATTTTATTTGTAATGTAGATTTCCATTTCAAGGGAGAAAAAGCCTATCTTTCACCAGATTCTCAGTAGGCTGACACCAGAAAGATTGGGGGAAAAGAAATCACCGATGTAAATGGAGAGCTATGCTAAGGTAAAAAGGATTCTGATTTTCAGAATTTTTAAATACTCTCTTTTGTTTTTAAGATTTTATTTTTAAGTAATTTTTACACCCAATGTGGGGTTCAAACTCACAACCCCGAGATCAAGAGTCACATGCTCTACTGACTCAGCCAGCCAGGCGCCCCTTAAATACTTTAATTCTTTAAAAGAATTTTGAAATACTTACGTGTTCTCCTGAGTTATTTTTATATTCTCTTATAAGTTAAGCAGTTTAGGTAATTAACTCTATTTAGCTATTTTAACATTTAAAAAGTTTTGTAATAATAGAAAAGCAAAAAAGAGTTTGTAGGCAATTTTATAAGAAGAAAAATGTGTACTCATTAAAGAGACTTCAGATGGTACTTTGGATTCATACAAGGTATTTTCAGAAAATACTTTGAGTAAGATCTTTTAATTCAGAGGCAAATTAAATACACTATTAATTTTGTTTATTTATTAGTCTTTTTCAGAATTGTCAATATATTAATGAAGCATGGTAAGTTGGCATTTTAAAATCTTTGGAGGATGAGCATCCTCTTTGAAGGATGAATATCCTCCATTTTGGAAAATATATGGATTAGATTATAAGGGCATGAAATGGTTTGCAAAATAGTTTAATTTGGGGGCACCTGGGTGGCTCAGTCTGTTAAGGGTCCGACTCCTGGTTTTAGCTTGGGTCATGGTCTCACGGTGGTGGGATCCAGCCCTGCATCAGGCTCCATGCTCAGTATGGAGTCTGCTTCAGATTCTTCCTCCCTCCCCCTTTGTCCCTCCCCGCTCACACTCTTTCCCTGGGTCTCAAATACATAAATAAAATCTTTAAAAAAAACAGTTTAATTTTACATCTTGGAGACATACTTTTGAAATTAAGAGCATTCCATTTTAAGTAGTGATTCAGATTCTGTTTCATTAAAGATATTTCCTTGATCCTTCTTTCCAAATCAGTTTCCTGCTATACAACTCCTTACTAAAATTTATGAGAATGTTAAATATTATACCATAGCATGAATACTGTTCTCTAAATGCTGTATATTATAGAGCAGTGGATCTCAACCAGGGCTGAGAGTGCTGCTGGCATCCAGTGAGTGGGTAGAGACCAGGGATGCTGCTAGATTTTCTACAATGCACAGGACAGCCTTCCACATCAAAGACTTAGCCAACCCTACGTGTCAATAGTGTCATGGGTGAAAAACCCTCCTTTATATCAGAAAGATTAAGTTCAATTGATAATTTCATAACTTGAGGGTTCTGCCATTGTAGCAGTCCTGTGTTGAACAAGACAAGCTGGGACAAGCCTTTGAAGATGCTTTTGAGGTGCTGAGGCAACATTCAGCCGGAGATCTTCAGTACTCTCCAGGTAAAGATGTCAGTCCCTTTCTTTCAGTGGTAATCAAATGGCTTCTTGGTCACACAGACATAATAATTATCAGAACAGAGAAGACCATTTTAATCTAGTGCATCTAGGATTTATTCTAACAAAGGCAAAAAGCTTCCAGGGTTACCTAGCCTACGTAAATTTAAAGTGTCACATAGGAAAATGCAAGAGTATAGAGAATGACATTCCACATAGGAATACTAGCACATAAAATTATTAGCTATTAAGCATATCTGGTTGATATTTATCTAATAGAAAATTTTAACTGTTCAGAGTGGGCTTTTCGGTTATTCTAATTTATCTTATAGACGTTCCATACAAGAGATATTCTACTCAGAAGCAGAATTCTTTTCTTTTGAGAGTAAATATCTTCTTCCTCACCCATTGCCCTATAGACTGTGGAAAGATAGTGTAGGTGAAACACAGGTATCTTGCCTATTGATTTTATACAGGGTATTTCGGGAAGTTCCAAGATAAAAGAAATCATGGGATCTCTGCTTGCAAGGAACATGTGCTCCAGTAAGGGAAATGGGATATGTAAAAGATACCAGTATAATGCAATAAATGTAGGGAAATGCAAAGTGACAGAGAACACATGATGAAGCAACCACACATATAAGCTTATATGCATATATAAACATACATAGACATGCAATTATAAACTTTGACTTTTGGAGTTTTCTTTTTTTGTTTTTAAATTAGATTACAAAAATTACCTGGCTTTCATCAACCACTGCTCTCATGTTAGAGGAAATTCCAACTGCTATGGTGTGCTGCCTACAGAGGAACCTGTCTATAATTGGAGAACAGTAATAGTGAGTACATGTACCAGTAGACCAATCTCCCAGTAACAGGCAAATTCCCTATTCACACTTGCCTTCCACTTGGTGTAGGCTTGCTGAAACCCAGCTTAGAGGCAGTGGTGACTGTGAGAACACTCACAGACATCAATGCTGTGAATTTTACAGTCAACATGGGTGATCTCAGCAAGGCTGTCAAGAAGGAAACTGCCCTCCATCATTGCTCTCCATCCAGCATCAGACGGTTTGAATGACTTCTAGAAAGATGTGTTTTTAGGGTTCTCACATTACTGCTTCTCGTCCACCTGGAAAATTGCAAAAAAGTATGGTTCCCCTATAAGCCATAGGGCAAAGCCCAAACTTCCCCTGCACTGGCTTTACCTACAGTCTTGTATTAACCTGCTCTGTTTCCCTTCCCGAGCTCAGAGCTAGCTACATGTCTTGGACCAACTCATGGATATTGTTATAGCTCCCTGCAAACAAAGTGTCCCCACCATCTATCTCTCCATGTGTTCTTTTGTATTATTTTCTTTTGCCTTTTTTTAAAAGATTTATTTCTTTATTTGAGAGAGAGTGAGTGAGTGGGGCAAGGGGCAGAGGGAGAGGGAGAGAGAAACTTAAGCAGCCTCTGCGCTCAGCGCAGAGTCTGATGCAGGGCTCGATTCCATGAACCTGAGATCATGACCTGAGCCAAAACCCAAGAGTAAGATGCTTAATGGACTGCACCACCCAGGCGCCCCTGTATTGTTTTCTTAATGCCGGCTGTCTTAATGTGGTGCGGTGTAAATATGAAATGTTTTTTCTTTTTTCTTTTTTTCCCCAGTCATTGTGCTATGTCAAATGTCCTTTCCCTGACCCTTTAAATTGTTCTGTTAGGGCCTCTCCACAAGACATTTCTTTGAACAGGGAGTTTGGGTTCCAGCTTAACCTCTTCTACCTCACTTAGGGTTGCCAGGTAAAATACAGCATGTGAATATTTTTATTTGCTAAATCTGGCAACCCTGCTTCCCCTTCAACTCCCACTCCCCAGTATATATCACAGCCTCTTGTGGCTGGGGGCACTCCTTGCCTGCTGGGAAGTCTCTTATGGGGTATGGTAAGGTGGCTCAAGTCAATCTTTGTCGAATTAACCCATGGAGACCTACATATCCTTGCCATATGTAATGGTAACAGCTGCTTCCTCCTGTCCCCTCTCTTGGCTCTGCCCTTCCTTTGGCTGTCATCTTTCTCCTCTTGTCTCCTCTTGCCCAGATGGGCATCCAACAGAGGAATGGAAATTCATCTTCCCCTTTTTGCTGGCACTTCAATTTTGTACTGATAATTCTTTAAAATTTTTCTTCCTGGTATTTTTAGGGAGAAGGAAGGAAGCAACCCCCTCTTCTTTCTTATAGGGAAGGGATGATATGAAAGTCTTCACAAAGCCAAAGAGTACCTTCCATCCCTTGGTCCTCTCTTTATGTGGATTTGAGGCCAGTTCTGCCCTGGGAGATAATCTGGCTGCAGTTGAGGATTATGCTTTTTAGAATTTGGGAGATGCTTAGCACTCTTTTTGTCCTCAGCTTTTGACTTTAGCCATCAACTGGGGGCCACATGGAAAGTCCCTTTTAACATCCTGCTGCATTATTTATATAGAACAGTGCTGCGGACCTCTATTTTGAAGGAAATACTCATCCATCTCTGCCAAATATCCCTGAAAACCAACTGGTACAACCTGCTGTTCTCCATCAAAAGGGAGGAAAAGGTATGTGGATCCAGCACTCTTTTTATAGGTAAAAGAACCAAATCTTCTTCAAATCAACTTTAAAGGGATTTCATATCTGAGTTTAGAACTGCATTTGCAAAATATTATAGTATTGTGATTAAGAATAATTGACCTCTGACAGACTGAACCACTCCAAGCCATTCAGCTTGAGTGAGCCTTCCTATTGCTTCATAGAAATGTGAAGCTGCAAAGTATCACTTCACTCAAATAAATCTGTATTCAAGAATAATGTGTCTATATTTGGGGTATAGAAAGGGGAACTTTTCCATAAGTTGTTTTAGCAGTCCTACCCTAATCATGAAGGCCTTAGTATAGAAGTTGTCTCTCCATTTAAGTTTCCTGCAAATGAAGTTTCATAATAATTTCAATATTTCATAAATTTGAAATCTTGATTTCATAAATTGAAGGTGATGGTGATCTCGCCTAACAGATGGACAAAGTGATAAAGTAGGATAGTAGCCTCTGATGGCTATGTTGTGGGCCACACACGTGCACATGTGCTATTGGAGGGAGTGTATAAATTGGTACAAAGTTTTGTAAGGCAATTTGGCAATAACTAACAAAGACTTAAATGTTTGTATCTTTTGATTCTTAGGGACTATATAACTGAGTGACTGAGTGTGAACTCTGGATTAATTGTGTGAGGCTGGGAAAATCACTTAACCTTTTGTACCACAGTGTCCTCATTCAAAGAACAAATAACGATAATTGTACTAATATTGTAAGATTGCTGTAAAAATTAAATGAGAAAGTCATTGTAAAGCATTACACTCATAACCTGACACTGGCACTGGATAATTTCTCAAGAGACCATAGGGGGTGTCTGTGTGTACACTATACACATTAGGATGTTCCTTGCAATGTTGTTTGTTGAAGGAAAAGAATGGAACTTACCTACTGCATCTGTCTGTGTATAAGGAACAGAGATGTGTAAGATGCATCATAATTTTACAATGAAATTTTTTTCATATCATAGTTTCTAAATTATTTTCAATGAATATTTTTTTGAAAACTAGTTTTGTTCCTATATCTGCATCTTAGAATACTGTATCCTAGAACAAAATTCTAAATATTCAGCAATAATTTAATCCAGCAAAGAATACTGCATAAAACCACACACGTAAAATAAATCTGTATCACTGAATATTGGTATTGAATATTGAACTATTACTAGTAGTAATTTAATATAAGGAGAATAACACTTCTATCTCAGTCCAGGGGTTTAGCTTGTCACTATTATTATTTGCTTTGCCAGTATGGAACATATCATCCACCATTTTCTGTTTTTAAAGTTTCATCTTCCACCTGAAACAGGGATACATTTGAAACAGAATGAAATTTCAAAATTATTTGGGGATTCATTATCCAGAGAAAAATAGTACATGCATAAAACAGAACACATAGCTGTTAAAAGGCAAGAAGGCGTATCTTAATGTGTTGATAAAGAAAACTTTAGGGCGCCTGTGTGGCTCAGTCAGTTAAGCGGCTGCCTTCAGCTCGGGTCATGATCCCGGGGTCCTGGAATTGAGTCCCGCATCAGGCTCGTGCTTGGCGAGGAACCTGCTTCCCCCTCTCCCTCTGCCTGCTGCTCCCCCTGCTTGTGCTCTCTCTCTGTCAAATAAATAAAATCTAAAAAAAACCCCAAAAAACTCTAATCCTTTTTAATTCCATGATTTAAAAGTAATAATGCACATTATTTATTAAAAGTTCAAAGGATTCAGAAATTCACAAAGAATAAGTCGAAGTGTTCCTTTTTCTTCCCATGTTATGTCCCGGAAGTAACAGTTGTTACTTCAACAGCTGGGTATTTTACCCATCTATAGCTAATTTCTGTATTATTCTCTGATTTAAGACATATTACTTACTGAAAAAAACTGCAAAATAATATGATACCACGGGTATTTATTTTTATTTTTTTAAAGATTTTATTTATTTGACAGAGCCCAAGCAGAGGGAGAGAGAGGGAGAAGCAGGCTCCCTGCTGAGCAAGGAGCCTGATGTGGGACTCGATCCCAGGACCCTGGGATCATTACCTGAGCCGAAGGCAGACACTTAACCAACTGAGCCACCCAGGCATCCCACCCCTACTATTTAAGGATGTGTATGTTTGTATGCAAATTTTTTAAATTTTAAAAATATGTAGAATAGACTGGAATTTTACTTTCACTTTGTGCTTTTGTTTGAATCTTTTACTCTGAGCACATCATACTTTCTTTTTTTTTTTAAGATTTTATTTATTTATTTGACAGAGAGACAGCGAGAGAGGGAACACAAGCAGGGGGAGTGGGAGAGGGAGAAGCAGGCTTCCCGCGGAGCAGGGAGCCCAATGTGTGGCTCCATTCCAGGACCCTGGGATCATGACCTGAGCCGAAGGCAGATGCTTAACAACTGAGCCACCTAGGCGCCCCACATCATACTTAAATAAAAATTTAAATATTTTTTTTCAAAACTGAAAACAAATTTTAAAAGGTGAGGATTCATTACCATTGATTTGACCACCAGATAAGAGACAAAGTTTAAGGCTGTGACTTTTAATTCATGATGTGTTTTTTGGTAAGTCCCTTTCATTTCTCAATTTTTAATTTTGAGATAATATAACCACAAAAAGATAAAAACCTTTGAGGTTTTAGGATGAATGATGACTGATGCAAGAGTATTACTTCCCAGAGACTGTTCAAAGCAGTTTGGGAATCCACTATTCCACTCTCTCTAGGGGAAAAGGGAATTTGGCCATGAATGTGTTAGCTACTGATAGATCTGGTGAGGCATCATATTTACAGGCCAATTCAGAAGTCACAAAATGGGTTGTCCCCTTTCTTCTCTGTTAGGCCAAAGACATCCAATCAACTCAGCAAAAATCACAACAAATCCTCCTGAAGTTTTCTGTCTAGACATTCTGAAATATAGGGCTGTATTCCTAAAGAGATAAAAACTCTGGTAGTACCATTTTATTTCACAGCAATGAAAAATACCACAATGCCCATTGTCATTGCTCATAAATGATGTCAAAATGTCACGAATATGGCAATGAAGGTGGCATTTCCACTCCAGTTTTTTCTATTCTTTATTTTTCCCATAACTATGTAGACCCAGTTTTTTTTACTTAAGTCTTTGTTATTGATTTTACTAATATTACTTTATATTTGATTACTATTTTGCATTTTATAAAATACTTTCACATTCCTTACCTCATTTGACTTGACTATTTGAATAAAGCCCTTTCAAATGATTTGCTTTCTGAAAATGGCTTTTGAGGCTTCTCTTTATTTAAAACCACTAAACTTTGCAGTTCATGTTGCTCAGTTTTGTTGTTCTTTTTTTTTTTTTAGATTTATTTATTTACTTATTTGAGAAAGCAAGAATGAGAGATGGAGAGAGAGCACATGAAAGGGGGGAGGGTCAGAGGGAGAAGCAGACTCCCTTCTGAGCAGGGAGCTTGATGTGGGACTCCATCCCGGGACTCCAGGATCATGACCTGAGCCGAAAGCAGTCGCTTAACCGACTGAGCCACCCAGGCGCCCCAGTTTTGTTGTTCTAACATATGACATAGAACTAGTAGTTAAAGATTTAATGGTGAAGAAAGACCACCTGACAGATGGCAGACTCGGATAAAAAGGCACCAGGCTTTCCTTTTCCAGTTAAGGACAGTACAAAAATTTTTACAACATCCCCAACAAAGAAAGGTCCAACTGAAACTTCAGTAGGCCAAACAGACCTCTGACTTTCAAGTCCCAATGCAGCTTTGAATTTAGTAGTGACTCAGCAAACCCTTCCTGAGGATGTTTCCTTGTGTGTAGCCATGGTGGAGTATGACATTGTTTTTCTCAATTTTAGGCAGGAAGAAGCTCCGACTGTTCGAATACCTTCATGAATCCCTGTGTAATCCTGAGATGGCATCTTGTATTCAGTGGGTAGATAAAACCAAAGGCATCTTTCAGTTTGTGTCAAAAAACAAAGAAAAACTTGCCCAACTTTGGGGGAAAAGAAAAGGCAACCGGAAGACCATGACTTACCAGAAAATGGCCAGAGCACTGAGGAATTATGGAAGAACTGGGGAAATCACCAAAATCCGGAGAAAGCTAACTTACCAGTTCAGTGAAGCCATTCTCCAAAGACTCTCTCCATCTTATTTCTTAGAAAAAGAGATCTTCTACTCACCGTATGTTCAACCTGAGCAAGGCTTTCTCAGCTTCAGTAATTGGAATGCAAATTGTAATTGTCCATATGCTGATTATCATGAGCTAAGCCACCCTGATTGCTAAATACTCTCTTAACATTTCATTATTTCCTGGCATCAGAAATCCCTACCAATTTCAAGATTTTTCTCTTAAAGCAAATGCTGGAGAGGGAAAAACAATTAACTTCATTGTTTTTAATCTTTCATTAACAGATTATAATCTATACAGACTTGGTGAAAAAAATCTGCCAGTGAACGACTTGTAAACGATCAAGCCCCATTTGAAAGTACAGACTAAATGTCCTTCCTCTTACTATTGTTTATGCAACACTTTCAGATAAACAATGCTAGTAGAGATTATTTTACCTATATTGATTTAAATATTGTTTTCCTGTCATACACTAAGGCAAAAAAAAAAATACCACTCTAACATATCTGATGGCTTTAGTGACAACAAAATTGCATATGATAGTCATGCGAAAATACATTCATGATTTAAAAAAAATAGTTTCTTTGCACTTCAGACCTCATGGTCTGTAACCCTGTGGCGCTAAAGAAATGATCTAAGGAAAATGTGATCTACCTTACTGATAAGAGAACTCCAAAGCTTATACTACCCACAAGTCATTTCCTGGCATTTCTCCCCTGGGGTAGATCCAGGAGCTAACGTTTCTTGCTATCCTGCCGCTCAGCCACAAGAAGGTGCTCTTGCCTTGTTAACGGCTCTCTGGCCCAACTTTGAAACAAGACTTCCTCTTCCCTTGAATTAGCCCAGCTAAGACCAGGCTGGAACAATTGGAGAAAAAGAAAAGAAAAGAAAGATTTTGATAAAGGATAGAGACTAGCAAATAAATCCAGAAAGGAACCAGGACTTGAAAGCTATGGTTTGTTCTCAACATTCCATCAGGAATGAAGAAGGAAACCCTGTTAACTTTCTTAAGAAACCTGGCAGGTTCATACATACTCCATCTGTATTACTATGACACGGGAGAGCTTCCTAGACTACATGGGCTATCTTCAGTCCAGGCCAAGAGCTGCTTGGAGCCTACCCTATTTGATTTGTACCATTGTCCTTTTTCTTTGTGTCCTCCTGGTGCCCTTCGTCCCTCAGGGATTCTTAAAAACATGGCAGACTAAGTGAAGGTAATGATACTGGCCATCTGCACAGGTAGTCTGGCCTTCTGGTATAAACAATGTTTGCATCCTCCCCAAAATCACATGTTGAATCATAACCCCCCAGTGTGATGGTATTTGGAGGCAGGCTCTTTGGAAGGAAGAGCTCTCTCAAATGGGCTTCGTGCCTTGTGAAAGAGACCCAGAGAGCTTCCTCACCCCTTCTGCTTGAGGACACAAGACGGCCTCCTATGAACCAGGAAGCAGGCTCTTACCAGACATTGAATGTGCTGGCGCCTTGATCTTGGACTTCCCAGCTTCCTGAACTGTGAGAAATTTCTGTTTATGAGACACCCAGTTTACAGTATTCTGTTACAGCAGCCGAAAAGGAGCAAGACAGTTCCAATCAGTGCTCACCTTAAAAGTAGGACCCAGCGTACTTTTGTGTTCACTTTCCTACAAAGAAATATGCTCTGTAAATTAATGAACCACATAAATTTTACCAGACTTTGCGAAGAGGAAATAAATGAAGAGGTTTTACTACACAGATCATTCAGCCAACAATAAAATTCATTAACATTTTACTTCTCTCCATAGTCCCTCTTAAACTCAATGCCAGCCTGAGGGGTTCATCTTGACAATTCTCCCAAAAGCCCCCAGTCAGCCCCTAATCTGTTTCATACTGTTTCGTACTGTTCTACAGAGTAGCTTTCTCTTGGGCAGAAATCTGGGCTCTGCCTTTTACCCAAAATGGGCTGATCAAAGGCCATTTTCACAAGCATGTCAGTCCTTAAAGACCAAAACTTCCGTATATTGTGTGCCATGTGCCCTACTTCAAACAGGGTGTTACTCCCTACCACCACCAAAGGACAGGGAAGAGAGACTTGTTAAACTCTTATCATGGCCCTTCATTTCCTAGTATATGGTATCCCAACCTCTATCTTGTCACTGTCACCTGGCTGAATGACCCAAACTCTTCTCCAGTGAGGAGGTGTCCAGTGCTAAGTGAAACACATGGTTTCTTCTGTTAGGAAATTTCAATTCTGTCAATACAGATTGGTAAGTTTTATTAGTATTTAACCAAAGTTTACCTAATGCCTTACCAAAGAGCAATTTATTGGTTGATTGGGCACATATATTGTGTATGTAAAGTGCATCAGTGTGGCAACATTAATTATATCTAACCTGTACAGACTGATCTATACACCCACTTAACCATCATCTAGATGAAGATACAGAACACTTCAGCATCTCATAAGGTTCTCTTTCCCAATGCCCACCTTCTTAAACATCATATAAATGGAATCACAGTTTGTATTCTTTTGCATCTGCTTTTGTTTCCCTCAATACAATATGAAGTTCATCAGTGTTGCTGGATATAAGAGGAATTTATTCTTACTGCTTTTCAGCTCCTGATTTTTTAAAAAGACAGTGCCTGAAATCTCTTCTTCAATCCCCAGACTTTATAAATATAAAATGGACCCAGAATATTCTTATATTCACATGGATAGTGTTCCTTTATTGTCAAACATTGATGCCTGTCCTCCACAGAGTTGGAATGATGTACACTCATAAAACCACAATTTATATTTAGATATTTTGGTTAATATATTTTTACCAACTCATGTAATCTGGATGGAATTTGAGTTTGTGTTTTGATCATACAAATCCTGATGATATTAATGTAAAATAGGCTTAAAGCAATTTACTCCTTTCTCATGGATTGTTGAAAGTTAATGAAAATACTTTTAAACTAAAATGAACCATATTTCTTCAAGTTTCCTGCCCCCCATTTCAAAGCTGAAGATACTCTATGTTTGCCTTTGCAATATGGTGAAAAATTAGCTTGAATTTAATAGATGGCTGCCTCCTTAAGCCTGGATGGATTTTAAGAGCAGTGGATAGTTACTAGAAAGAAAAGGGTCTGCAGGTAGGGATTTGTGGCTTTTTTTTTTTTAAAGATTTTATTTATTTATTTAATTGACAGAGAGAGAGACAGCGAGAGAGGGAACACAAGCAGGGGGAGGGTCAGAGGGAGAAGCAGACTTCCCGGCGAGCAGGGAGCCCGATGCGGGGCTCAATCCCAGGACCCCGAGATCATGACCTGAGCTGAAGGCAGTCGCTTAACCAACTGAGCCACCCAGGCGCCCCGGGATTTGTGGCTTTGTCAGGCAAGCACAGTGAGGCATCCCATAAATGTGTGAAACAGACTACCTCAAAGATTGTCTGTCAGGAGCAGCCCTGACTTAGCTTGGCCATGAACTAGTTTGACTAAATGTGGAAGAAGAATCTAGAGCATCTAGGTTTTTGTTTTGTTTTGTTTTTTGGTAGTGGGCCCCAGAATCAGAAATCCAAATGAAGAGAGCACATGAATGTTTCAGTGGTGATCTGATGAGTCAAAATTCAGTGTCAAAGAAGTAGATGTGGTTCAAATATGAGAAATTTGCAAATTGTGCAAGAACAAAGCTTTGTACAATGTTTGGATCTGCTATCAGAGATAGTTTAATTCCTGACAGCTGTGGAAGCTAGGGAAGATTCTCCTTGATAAGCACACTCACCCAGGATTTGTAGTGGAGGATTAATCAACAAAAGGCCAGTGAATTCATATGCAGCTTAAGTGAACAAACAGAATTTCCTATAATCAAAAATGTATGATATAGGTGAACAAATAAAAATTTATTTAATAATCATGCGTTACATATGCAATGAAATTATAGCAAGTTACGTGATGAAAGATCACATTTACAAGTTTCAGATAAGTCAGACTGATACCTCTTGGAACACTTCATTTCTTATTAACTCTTAGTAAAAGGAGGGAAATTCACTGGGATGCACTGGGCTGCAAGTAACAAAAGACCCTGACTCAAACTGGTTTAAATGATAAGAAAATTTAATATTTCACAGATAAAGAAGTCCAAAGGAAGAGTATGCTACAACCATGACACATTATTGTTCTGGCTTCGTTTTCTGGTGAGTCTTTTGTTACACTTTCTTGCCATTGGCCTTTTCCTCAGGTTTGCTAAGAGTAAAATGACTACTGCAGTTCCAACTCTTATCAGCACAGCAGTGTCCAACAGAAAGAGCCACTTCTACCAGTGTCCTCTTTTCAGTCGGGGAAATTTTCCAGAACCCCCCAGAACATCTCATGTCCTATTGTCCATACTTGGGATCCCTGCTCAGGCCTAAATCATTCACTGGCAAAGGAAAAGAGCCACTGTTACTGGCTCAGACCAAAGGGAATTCAATCCTGGAGGAGGAAAAGGGTCATGATCCCTTGGGTTAGTGAAGAGAGAGATGAATACCTGAATGAAACTAGTATTTTGCCTGAAAGGAGAGAGTAATGGATGTTGAGTGGAAAACCAACAATGTTTGCTATAGTCCACCACTTTGAGTGCCCAATATCTCTCCATACTTAAAAGGTGTTCATGCCTTTATTGAAATTATTCACGTATTCCCTAACAGGAAGTAACCTCATCAGGTTACTACATCCAAGTCCAGGATTGCTGGAAAATGTAGTTTTAATACTATTATTATTTAGACATGGTAAGAGTGCCATCAAAGAAATCATTTATTGCACTCACAATTCCAAGAAAGAGAGTACACATCATGCCATGATGGCTACATGGAGAAGCACTTGGGTTAGTCATGAGGCAGATGGAAAGGGAAACTGTGGGCAAGAGGTTTTATTGTGGTTTCTGCAAGAAGAAATGGGTGAGGCAGGTGAACAGGTTTAGGATTGGCTAGTTTAAATAATTTAGTGGGGCAAAGAGGCTTCCCCTACTTGCCTGGTACCTGGCCTTAGGGTGTTTAGGATGGGTACATAGTGGCCCAGAGCATGAGAACCCCACAAGGGAAGTGGTTGGGGTGTAGACTCTGGATTTATTGACTTGTATTTAAAAATTACACCTTAGGGAGGATTCCTCCTGGGGGGGAATGGAGAAGGTGACAAGGGAGGCAGTTGGCTAAGGCAAGGTAACTCAGGCATATTACTGGGTTGTCCAGAAACAGGTGTGTCTGGCCTATGCATGCAGGGCAGACGTTAAAGCATCAAGTTTACAGAAGCTAGAAACATGATTCATACAAATGTTCATTTGTCTCCTCTGATCCATAACTGTGTTTGCTCTTCATGGTTCAGCAATAGACTACATTGGGAAAGGGCAAGAGCAGAAAACCACTCCTGGTCACTTCCCCATAACTCATATCTTATCCAAACTACACAGGGATGGTGAGATTCCCGCCTGGGACAGAGGTAAATTCCTCTCAGTCAATGAGGCTGACCCTATTTACATTCTCTTCAGGGAATGCCCTTCATCATGTCTTTCATGATCCCTGGTTCTGCCTCTTGGAATAATCTCCCAGTTTATTTTTTCTATGGTCATATCTGAAATAGGCATTTGAAAGATGTATTTCCTCAGTACTGAGTAGCAGTATGTTAATTCAAGTTCAGAAGTCTGAGATTGCTAATTCCACATTTTAGCATTTGCTACTGACAACACCCTACTTGCTGGTAATGAATTTTGAACTCTTTTGGTTGTAGCTAACTGAAATCAGCTTTGAAGGTTTACCTCACTGAAGTATTCACTGGGATGTTTTTAAAAATATTGCTTACAGAATTTCTGAGGAAGCTGGAGAATAAGCAGCCAGACGTAAAGCCCTAAACCACATCAAAGTTCTGGCCAAGTTAGGACATCACATAACACTGCCAGTGTTACCAATTACCAGATGCCTCGACTTAACGTCATCTCACGTATCACTGAAAAGAGCTACCATAGCATCACCATTGTCCCCAGAAACTATCTTGCTG